TTTTCCCTACTTTTTAGGAGCCATATTTTTCTCTAAATCGGCGAATTCTCTCGCTTTCTCCACTACCGATGAACTATTCCCAATCTATACTTTCGCTTTTCCAATAAAACCGGGTACCTCAAAATTATCGTGAACTGTGCCTTTAAAGAGAAAAAGACAAGTTCAGAAAACTGAGGAAGTTGATGTCAAATTGACGTAGCCCATACCAAGTTTGAGTTTTGGCGATTCAAGTTAACGTAGTTGCATGAAAAATGTAAAACGTATTCAAATGGAATGGAAATTGAGAAATCGAATACCTCTGATGGGAATGATATGAATCGGTCATTTTCTGGCAAAAGATCTAGAAGAGTAGATGCCACAGCGAGGGCGTCTCGCCTTTTTCTTAGCAACTCCGGTGTCTGCTCAGCCTGAGTACGTAGAACGAATGCGTATTCATATTGAGCACGTGCCGCTGAAACGAGGGTATCACATGTCCGGTTGACGTATATTGATATAGTGCAACTCTAAAGAAATGCAAAGAAATTCTCAACAGAAGTATTGCATACCGCCTTCGAAATCGTTTCTCTTCATGTAGAAAGAGAAGACAAGCTTAAAGAGATGATGGGGGACAGTTGCTTCCTGAGCGCGTGCAGACGTTAAGAGGGTGCGCTCTACCTTAAAAATAAGTATATTCCAAAAAGAAAAGAACCAGCACTCGATATTCGGCGAAGTGAAAACCGACTGCTCAGTACAACTGCCTATTTGATCTAGATGGGATGAAAAATTCGGTCTTACCTCATCCTCAAGCTTCCCATAATTCAAGTCAACTATCGACTGCCAATCGTTCGCGTGCAACATACGCTTGATAAGCTCACCCAAAGCCATTCGTTTAACTTCCGGATCCTAGAGATATCGAGCAAACCAATGTTTTTCAGAAATAGACAGGATAGTTCTCAGAACAAAAGGAATATTACAAACAGTAACCAAAATGATAAACAGTACTGTATTTTGGATGATACTCAACAACGCATCACACCAGTTTCCTTGGTTGATTAGATGGTTGAAGAGAGTTGCGTAAATCGTGGACTAAAAAATGACTAAGCAGATATAACAAATGAAATCCAATACGAAAGCAGAACAAATGAAATAGAATCTGCATGGTACAAACATACAGTG